TGCTTTGGGTACCCAACCAAATAACGGTATTTTCAGATGGCTCATTTGCCTCCTAAAGCTGGGCAATGAATAAGAAAGACTGAAGAAGAATCGGTGCCTTGAGTTATACCGTCAACTGCCAGAACATATAATCTGTGTTTGAAGAAGTAAAGTCAGAATGTTCTTTAGAAGCGAGGATGGTGAGACTTGTTTTACCTTCTTTGGACATGTTCTCAGGAGTGATCAGTTTTTGGAAGACATCATAATTGGTAAAGTAAAGGATCATGGTGAAAACAGAAAGACTCAATGAAATAGATTTATACAGTATCTGTAGCAACAGGCTCACACCTAGCAAAGATTATGAGAATGGTGAATTGGATAGTATTTCTGTCTGTTACACAAGAGTAGTTGTGAGCTGAAACAGATTCGACAGCACCTAACAACAACAAAAGAAAATTTAAGGAACCTTGGTGAACTGGGCTCCTAACCAAAAAAAATCAGTGGCTTAAATTTACCAGGGGCCAAGAAAACCATATTGTGAACATTGCTTTACTTGTCACATGGAGTCGCTATCAGTTGGTATCAAGTTTATGGCACACAATAGTAACAGGCAAAAGTAGGGGAAGAACTTTGATATTAGATGTTTAACAGAGTTTTCTTTTTCTTTTTTTTTAATGTTTTGTGAATTATGTGATAGTTTACATGGGAGAACATTAGCTTTGCATTCATCGTTTCATTGCCATGGTTACAATCCCCACCATGCATCATCAACCAACCAAAGGGTATACCCTGCAAGCCTGCCCTCCAGTCATCAGCAGTCAGACCCTCTCCGTCTCTGGGTCTAAAGTCCCCAGCTGCTCCCTCTCTCCACATCATTCTCTCTGCCTCCATCTCTGGTGTCACTGCTTCTCTGGGTAGGGTCCCACTATCCGCCCTTTACATTTCCAAACCTCACAGTCAGTACTGATAACAATTATTCACTATTGTATCACAAGAGACCTATCTGCATATCCTTTTAACAGCCCTGCCCAGACAGAGTGGATACTACTCAGTGGAGATTCTACCTTCCTCCATGCCCTCTGGATCTAGGCTCCTTCTTGAAAGCTTGTAAGGCAGTCATTTCTTGCCTTTGTAGTCCCCTCATTTTAGGTAGCCAATGTCCAAGTTGCCCATCCCTGTCTACTCTGTGTGTGGAGGGGTGGGAATGACTCTTGCTGTAAAGATTTGTTTCCTCTTTTGAGCTACTTCATCCATAGGTGTAGATCAAGTTCATCCATCTGTATCAGATTACTCTTTTTTCCTCTTCTTTCGACTTCTAGTTGAGCTCTGATCATCCAGTCATTGAAGCCAGGTCAAGTGGGTATTATCTGCAAGTGTGGGTGTTCTTATGCATATATGCCCTCTCTCTTATCAGCTGGACTCTTCACTCCCCACTCTAGCCCTAACAGAGTATTTTTATTTGTAATGTAGAGGGATAACATGAGAAACAAGGTAAAATGTGCATGTAAGGAGGAACAAACAAGATGGCGGATTGGGTGGACGTATAGCAGAGAGCTCCGCCAACAACAACACAGAATACCCGACCGAGCAGGTTCAGGGTATGGTTCCAGAACTCTGCACCACATATAAAGGAATACTTAGAAGGTTGGAAGGCTCACAGCTGGGGGAATTTGTGGCAGAAGCAAGAAATCTATTGCTTTCTAGTTCGGGA